TTCCCCCAATTCTGTCTGTTAGGTTTTTTTGTACATATTTATTAATGTGATGGATCTCCAAGTAGACTCTGAGTTCCTTGTGAACAGGGACAACCTTTGTCCTTTTACTATTTATCCAGCACTTAGCTCAGAGTCTGGCATAAGCAGATGCTTAACAAATGACTGACTGACTGACTGGACATAGATGAGGGTTGTAGAGACATGGGATGAGATTTGGCAGTTGAATAGATATGTGAGAGATTTGAAGAGGAAACTTCACAACAGGAACAATGATGATACCCTTGAGTTAAAGAGTTCAGAAAATGAGTGGGTTTTTGCCCTGCTTTCCTGGGTACCCAAAAGAACCATGAGATGGCTTGGGGGTCAGTGTGAGTATGCTTGGGAGTAGTAGTATACTTATAAATGTCATTTCACCAAGTTCTGCTATGAGTGCCCTGGTCAAGGTGAGGTTTATAACTACCTTGAGGGACTTATACCTATTGTAGAAGTGGGGTAGGTGAAATGGGATAGACTGAAGGAATATAGGGAGATAGTGGGTGAAGAGTAACTATAATTGTGTTTGAGATAAGCCCCAGGATATTAACAAAGGGAAGTTGGAATGCCAACCCCCTTCCCATTAGTTAATCATGTACCCCTTGGGGTAACACCGTAACTCTGCCCCCTCCCATATCATGTCACAACCACCTAGCGGACCAGGAACTTTGAAGAGTACTGCTCTAGATAGCAAAAATAAGATCAATAAGTAGAAGTTAGTGGCAGCTATATTTTGATTTAATGTAAGGAAGAACTCTCTAACCATCTGAGTTGTTAAAAATGAAATAGGCTACTTTGTGAAATATTAAATTCTCCATCACCAAAATTTTCAATCAAAAACTGGATGGACAGTTTTCAGGGATGTTATTGAAGATATTCATATATTATGTGAATCAGAATTTGTACCAATTACCTCTGAAGGCATTTTTAACATTAAGATACTTTTAAATTAAGATAGGAGATTCTTAGCTTTAAATGTTGAATTAAATGCAAACAAGCCTTTCTTCCATGCTTCCTATTTTAAAGCCCAAGCCTTAATGGATACTCTGAGATTTATTGATTCCTAAATACTTGTTTACTGCATGTCACATTCTTTTAAAAGGAACAGAATGAGCAGACTGACCATAGGTATGTAACATAGGCATCCTTCCACATAGGGTGCACCGTGTGGTGGTAGCATATAAAAAGGAATATTTTGTAATATTAACTTTTTAATAATCATTTTAATAGAAATACTAGACAATTCCACTCTGATTGGCACATGTGTTTATTTGTTGTAAGTCAAAGTGTATATATTAACTCCAATGATAGAAATACATAGAAAAAGTAACTCTCCAGTCTTACTTAGGGGAGACAAGTTCCTTTCCCTGGCCCTGGGAAGGACTCACTCTTCTGAACAAAGTGTAGGAAGTCAGAAAGTTTAATTTTTGGTAAGCTATGTTGTAATTGTGTCAGCTTACTTTTTTCTATCTCAGTATCCACAATGCAAAATTGGAATAAAAGATTATTGCACAAATTAATATTTTATTATTTAACAGCCATTAGTGTCCCAACTAAAATGTGCTTTCTAGTGATATAATAATTATAATTCATTTCTGTCTTAACACCACAAATTTTTTGTGTCAAAAGAAAAATGTAGTGTAAATTTTAGCGCATTACCTTGTGATGTTAAATGACAAATCTATTTTTGATGCTTATGAAGGGAAAAATATCACCTGATGTTTAAGACGTAAGGAGTCAAAAATAAATTCTATCAACCTTTAAATAGACATAATTTTTCTTTAACACCTTTTCCATGTGATTCATGAGTTGAGAGGCCTGTTCACAATCAACTGTGATCTCACTTGAATTTCTTCCACCATAGCTGTGAATCCCATTTTTACACCCTGAAAACAGAACTATGAGAAGTGGCTGAAAGGAGCAATAAAAAAGCAGTGCAATCATTTAAAAAGCTAATAAAAATACATCTTGATCCTTGTTATAGCAGGATCCTTATCAAATAGATAAATTCTAAAATGTTTCAACTTAGACTGAATAGAAGAACTCAAACTCAGTCTGAATACAGATGCAAATGCCTTTCATGTACATGCATATAGAATAAAATTAGTACAACCTGTGTTCTGAAAAATCACTGTGATGTATGAGATTGGGATCTAGTACCTCTTTAAGACTATAAGCTATAAATGAGTTGCCAATCTGAAACAGTGGAGGGACTGTCCACACATAGAGTTTCTTCTTCTGATGTAATTATAGACCCAGATGTCCCTCTTACTCCCACAAAAAAGATGTTTCTATTATCAACATTCAAAAATAATAATTGTAAAGTACAGAGAAGTAAGCTATATTTTCTTTTCATTTTTAAGTCTAACAAATATTTTCTCAAAGAACTATTATCTCATTTTTATTTCTATGATATTTAGCTTCTTGCACATTAGTGCAGATAATGTTAAGATCTTCTCTCTAGGATTGCTGCTTTTTTCACTTTTGCATTTTTTTGACATTTATTCTTAGGCAATAACTAGTCCTGAGGCTTAATCCTTATTTGAATGATGTGTGTAAAGGTACTATCAGCCTGGGTTACCCCACTCAATGGAAGCAACTTCTAAACACTGTATAAGTGCTGATAAACAAATTCAGCTTATTATTTTCTTCAGAGGTAGAAACCATAGCTAAGGCAGGGGAAAATAGAGAGCAATGAAGCTAAATAAGATTATTAGAGTAAGTAAACAGGGAATTTTAAGATCAGGTTATCTAGCTATGTAGATCACTACATCATTTGGAAAGGAAGATGGTGAGTAAGACAAGGTGAGACTAAAAGTATGTATTTGTTTGTCAGGCAACTGCTTCAGAAGTGACCAGGACACCAAGAAGTCCTGGTTTTAATTCAAGCTTCATGGCTAATGATTAACTCTGAAAAATGAGCAGGAAACAACTGAGATTTGGGGGCTAGCATCCTGAGAGTCTTTGCAATTTTGAAAGAACTATTGACAATATTTGAGGAAGGAAGGAAAATGATATGGAAGGCAGAGTCTTTGGTGTGATGATTTTTCAGCCTAATCACAGAAAAACCTGAACAGGGAGAAATATGAAAGGGTCTTGCTATATGATTTTTGAGACTAGATTTGATTCATGTGGAGATGGGAAACAACATAATTCTTTTATTTTTCCTCCTCTTCCCCCTTCATCATTCTCACTCTCTTCACTTTGCCACATATATTAAATTCTTGAAATCCTGGGTATGGATCAATTACAGAATGTCCCAAGGACCTGAAAGCCTGTCCTTGTTTACTTGTATTTGTCTGCACAGAAGCCTAAACTGGACCTAAAAACCCTCTAGGAATTAAAAAGAAATTTTGGTATTTTCTCATGACTATGGTCAAAAGGAAGCTAAGTTACTTGGTCTGTTTAATCTAAGGATTTACAATTCTATTTGTTTCTGATTTCATCAATAATTTTTATCCTTATAATTATGAAAGTCACATCATAATACACTTAAGAATAAATTATGTGATGGCAACTAAATATGTTCCTCTTGTTCTGCTTTGTTGATTAGAAAAAAGGACAAAAATTTTTAAATAAGTGATTTTATTTTGTTAGCCATTAGAGCTTTTTTTTATGTGGTGCAATGATTGTATCTTTAGAAGAATATTGTGCTTGGAATGTAGATATACTGCAAAGTGGATCAGATGCAAGCCTTGGTAACTTGATGTGCTCTTAGTTAAAAATGGCTGTTGTCCTAGATACCTGATCCCTAGGACATGGTTTATGCTGTGATTTGATTTTTAAATTGTAAAAAATTCCCCCTGCAGAAATTCAACATGAATTTGTTTGAGGAAATGGACATAAATGACAAAACCTGTCGAAGTGTTTTTTTAAGTTTTAGGAAAACAGGCAGGCAGAGCACAAATGATGAAACCATTTTGGAACCACTTGAGAGAGGAGGAATCATTATCATCATCATCATCATCATCATCATCATCATCATCATTATTTTTAAAACTAGAGGTTCGTTAAGCCACAAGTATAGCTGTTCACCATTCTAGGTGTTACCCTGTGCCTAATAAAATATTGTAGCAATCTTCAAGGAACTATTTAAATAACACTTATATTTTAATTTTCACTTGTATTCCTTTGAGAGTCATCAGACTTTTCTTCTCTTTAGTCTCTTGACCATGGACCCACTTGGCAAGGAGAGCAGTTGGGGGCAGAGTAGAGAAAGAAGACTGGATAACAACTAGCACCAAAGGAAAATATGTTAGGCATGACTTCTGTTTTAACAGTCAGCAATATAAAGATCGATCATTAAAGTCTTTTCCTGTACTGTGCTATTATGACATCTGGAACTACGATTCCCATAATTCTCTACAAATGGGAGAATCCACAGACCTGGGAAATAGAGTATTTATAAATATTCAACCTTGTCTGGTTTACTGAAAGTACACTATTTAAAGGAGTTTTTAGTTAATGTATGAAGGACCTCCAGTTAAATGGACTAGCTTGCATGATATTTAGAAACACAGTCCCCAAGAGGGGCTAATCTTTCTCTACTAGACTCTTAGCTAAGAAGACTACAATTACCGGAACCCCTTCCAAGGGTCTCTTAGACTGAATCCTTAAACTACAAATCCCATGAGCCAAAGCAGCCCATAAAGCCCCTAGACTTCTTCCAGTAGGCTAAAATCCAGATTAAGGCAACCTAAGCAATGCCTGAAAAAACAACAGCAACAACCAAAAGCACACTTGCGTTTCACCCTCCCTAGTCTGCTTCTCTATGCACTTCCTACACCTTTAAAAGCATTAGTGTAAGTTGGCTAAGCGAAAAAGGAAAATCAGAGTGGGAGTGGTTGGGGGTGGGGGGGTGGGGTGGAGAAATCACCTGTTCTGAGAGGAGCATGCTCACTGAAGAGGGAGGGAGAGAGAAGAGGAGGTGGAGGAGAAAGAGAGGGAGGGGACGGAACCAGCCTGGCACAGCTCAGATCTGTTTCTTCTCTAGCTTGGGAAGCAGGAGCTGCAGCAGCCAGGAGGAATCTCTAACAAACGTTGTTTGATACCGGCCAACATGGAGGAAGCAGTAGCGGCAATTACCTGCGAACAGGACTAATCCACTGGCTTCCGCTCCAGCCATCCAGCTGTGTACTAGAAGGGAGGGAAGCTTGATCCTTCACCCGTGGAGTCACATCTGTCCGTCTACACGCCCGACAGCAGGAGTAGGGGGTTATTTTCCCCTTCTGGCTGCCTGCATCTAGGCTAAGAGGCAAAGGAGGGTGGGGAGCTCGCCTGTGAGGAGCCTCCCTGAGCCATGGGCAACGAAGCGAGTTTGGAAGGGGAAGGTCTCCCTGAAGGGCTGACAGCTGCTGCTGCGGCGGCGGCAGCAGCAGCCGGAGAAGGGGACGGCGGGGCGGGGAGCACCTTACACACCATGATCCCGGCCGGCATGGAGGCGGATCTGAGCCAGCTGAGCGAGGAGGAGAGGAGACAGATCGCTGCTGTCATGTCAAGGGCGCAGGGTCTGCCCAAAGGAAACGTCCCCCCCGCCGCAGCGGAACCACCTTCTATGCAAAGGCATGCACAGCATTATATGTATACATATATATGTCTATGCATACATGTTACAGCTCCATAGGCACATATGTGTAAGCACGTATGTGTGAGTAGAGTGGTGCATAGATGTAACCTCCCTTTATTTTATTCTCACTAATGGGGTGGGGATACAGTGATCATTTGCTATCTGGATGGGTGAGGGAAAAAAAAAAGGATTTGTAGTAGAGTTTCGCAGAAATAGCCAAGCATTACATTATGATGGGATTTTAGTATGGTTTTAAGTTGTAATTCTGCTCTTTCAGATTCTTCTTATCCGATGGCATCCAGAGGCATTTCTAATATATTAATCTGAAAGTATTCTATTAAAATAATACGAGATGTGTTGTGAACTAGAGTAGTATTTTTGCCTATATCTTATCTTTGAGAATATTAGACATTTCTTCCCATTATACATCTGAGAGGAGTTAATGATATCTTTAATAATACCTTCTGTTCTCCTGGTGGTTGTTTCTTTTCTTTCACCCTTAAAGGAAATCAAGGGGTATAGCTCGGATATAACTATTTTATGAGAATAGTGAAGCATCCTGTAGCATATTCTGATCAGTAGGTTAGTATTTTTCTGACATGTCTATCAGTATAATTTTAAATCTTATGAATCTACCATTTGTGTATGCCAAAGTATCACTTTATTTCATAAAAGTACATGTAACTTTTATTAAATTGGAAATTAAATTAAATTGCCTTTTGTAACAAACGTTATATATTTACAAGATTACAAACTCCTTAGTTACCTTCCCTAGCAAATGAAAGTTAGACGACTAATAGTAACCTGCTAATGTTCTCCCCACTTCCGTCCTTCCTACGTCCAATAAATTATTTTTTTTTCTTAATTAGTAACAGTAAGAAGTGTGCACAATCATGGACAGAATGCTTGGCCGACCCCCATTATTGTAAACAGGCTCACCACCTCTGTGAAGAGAAAAAGGACCATTTCCCTATCCATGGTCCTGAAATGAGTCTTCCTCTGTGATCACAATCTAAGAAGGAAAACATTGGTGCTTATTTTTTTTTATAGGGAAGGATGCTAAATTTGAAGGGAAAAAAAATAGAAACCAGAGCATAATTTCTCATTTATTTATTTGAAGTAAATAGTATTTTAATTTACACAAGATAATATGGGTTTATTGAAAGGATAATTGAAGTAGGTGATTAATATATGTGTGTATTTAGGAGAAATGTTGAAAAATATTTTATGAAAATTATATTATTTTAATATTTAAAACTTTCAAAATCTATTGAGATTTCTTTTCATTAAAAACCTTAATATACCAGGAAAGCTACTACTCCCATTAAACTTGTGACTGCTCTAACTTTGTAAAATATGTGATTTCAGCAGTATTGGGAAACTGTTTTTGAAAATCATTGCAGTTTTTTCTATGTCATTTATATTTATTGAAGACTTGAATTATTAGAATTTATGAATTAGGATTCAATATTATTTCTTAGACTACTATTAAATGACACAGCTTCTTAGAATCATAGAACTGGAAAGGAGTGTCTTAGTAACTTACATCCAGTTCCATGATTTTGCAGATGGGGAAGTTGAGGCCCATCTGTCTTTCAAAATTAATTGGTAATAATATTTTTTCAATGTCTCATAAAAAGTTATTTCAACAGGTCCAGGACACTGGTTAAACAACTAGAAAATACTAGCTGTGATTTTTTGTTTTGCTTTTAATTTCTATTCATAGGACAGCTTAAAGAATAGCATTTTAGTCTATGATTCTATATGTAATAGATATTTTTTTTCCTTAGCCACAGTCACATAATTATTACTTGTACAACAATACCTATGACCAGTATGATTTTCAGTCTCAAGATATTAGTGTCAGATAGAATTCACAGAGAAGACATATAAAAGCTTTCTGATATCCACATTACATTACCACTTTTCAGAGATATAGGCCTCTCTGTAAATGGCTTCAATTTGTTTCCCTTTTTAGGAGACTATTATTATAATTAGAGCACACAGTACCTCTCAATAATGATAAAAAAAAAAGAAACAAGTGCACGTGTGCATGCCTGCGTGCACAAGCTCACACATATTCACACATCTGTGGTCCAGATTGACTGTCCTAGATTGTCCATAATGAATTATAAAAATTACCAACTGTACCTATCCCTCAGCATTTTCATCTATTAAGTATGTTTGACAATATCAGCCTCAAATGGTTATTTTTGTGAAGGTAAATTATAATAACATCTGTAAAAGTATATTGAAAAAGTTAAGACATTACATTATTAATAAGTGATATTAGTTATATTGCAATCAGATATGATTATGTTTCATTTTTTGCACAGGTGTTTGCTTCAGTTTTTCATTCTCATAGTGGTTTGTTTTGTACTATATGTAATTTATCATATGTGAAAGGCACATATTGATAGACTTATGAAGAAGCAGCATGGTGTTGTAGAATGAGGTCTGGAGTTGGATTGAAGAGACAGATTCTAGTGCTGACTGCTATTAACTAGCTATTGAGAACTTTGGGAAAAAATCATTTATTCTTTATGGACTTCAGTTCGCTCAATTTGGTGATCTCGAAGATCACCTCCAGTTCTCCAATTTTATGCACCTCAGCACTCTGCTAAGTAAAGTTGGGAATCTGTAGATGGTATTGGATGTTTCTGCTGGTTCTTTTATATCTCTCTAGCATAAGACAGCTACTATTATGACTGATGTTTAATGTACCAATTCAAAATATATGTAAATTCATTAAAATTATTATGGGATATTTCCCCCTATAACTATCTGTCAGAGAAGATAATTCAAATCTCATGATAAAAGGGCATTGAAATTAAAAGAAGGGCCAGGCATGGAGAGTTAGAAAGCATGGTAGAAGATTAGAGGTGATGAAGGAAGTGCTCCTGATTATTTTGATCCCTTGTATACACATGAGAAAATGTAATTTTCTTACCTTTCCTTCTTAATATTTTCTTCAGCTACAGATGGGTCAGTTCTAAAGTGCTTTGCTGAGAGTCACTTCTAATGAGGAGTATATCATTTTATAAATCTGAGGTTTTCACTGATACTGTTCTCCTTTGAGTTCTCCTTGAGCATTTCTTTCAGCCTCTCCTAGGCAATGATTACAACTAACCTGCTTTCTCCTACAGTGAAATAATGTCCAGGTTTTAAGAGGAATATAGGATATACTTATTTTTATTTTATCATTTTGAAAGTGGAACTATGGGACTGAAGTTTTGATCACAATAGTTGGGGAAAGTTGGAGAAAGTTGTAACACAGTATATCATTTATAATTCAATCTTTTTTTTACCAGTTATTTAACTGCATAGATGCTACATTAAGAGATTATTAACCACCAAACTATGATTGGCTGAGATGCACATTTTAAAGATTTTTTCTAGTCATGTAATTACATCTCACTTTCAATTTCCCCTTATTTTACACTCCAGTAATGTCACCTTTGACAGCTATTAGGTATTAATCTATCTGGTTCTTGTGCTATCCATAATTACAACAATTAATCGTAAACACTTGCAGCAGTGAGGTCAATATAGTGGTGTACACATTTTCTAACAATGGAGAGTTTTAAGTTTCATATAATTAGTGTGTCTTTTTAATCAATGCAGCTATAATTGCTGGTAAAAGTAACTTTCAGTGACAATACTAGTTATTGTTACAAACAGGTCAAAATTTAGCATGGCTATTTATATACTTCCTAGGTAACTCACATGTGAGTTGAATGTGGATAAAATAATCTAACCATAAGAAAATGAAAGTTAATTTGTTGGAACTTCATTATAAAACTTTTTTTTATTAGAATATGATTCTGTATAATGATGGTTTGTCATGGATTCTGTCCAAGGAATTTTATTTACTGAATTACTAAAATAATTTGTATTAAATTGATATCAACTATAATGTGTTCCCATGGTATGGGTGCTGAGAACAGCATGAAAGCTCCAAAATATTCTGAATAAATACCTTGTACCTGTTTTTTTTTCCTCAGGGCAGAGCAGCCAGAAATGTTATCTACATTAACACAGAGAAATTGCTATTTGAAAATACCTTAGAGTTGAGAATTTCAATTCAGTAATTGTGTAATAATTTGCTCTAGGAAATTACATTCCTTGCCAAATACTCCAAAAAAGGTCAATATTACCCATAACTTGTACTCTGAGCTGAATATGATTTGTGTTATTATCAACCAATAATATTTTTACATAGTGACCAATGTAAAATTAGAACATTTAAGTTTTGAAATACTAAAGCAGTTTAGTGACCTATTAGTTTTCCTCTTGTTTTAAAAAATTTCTATAAGATTGTTTCAACTTTTTCTTATTTAATTAAAACAAATTAAGATATTATCTCTAAAATACTTGGAGAGGAGGCATTTATGTCCTAGGGAAAGGGATAAAGATGCAGTTGCTAACAAGTAGATGTTAACAAAGTTGAAGAAGGTGGTTTAGTCTGTGTTGAAGTGAATGATTTACCTATCATAAACTCAATGGTTAAGGTAAATTAAAAACCCAGGGTTTATTTACCTAAAAGCTTTAGAACCTATGTGACTTACTTCATGTTCATAAAGTGATGAGATATCCTACCTCCATTCCAACCTCATTATGAGTTGCATATCTTTTTTTTTAATATATCCTATTTGGGCTTGTACTCTGATTGCTTTAAGTCTATGTAGAATGATAAATAATAAAAATAATACCTCACAGTTACATAGCATGTTACAGCATACAACAATAGCTTTTATTCCCATTTAACAAGTAAGAAAACTGAGACTCAAAACATTAGTGATTTTCTCACAGTTTTATATTTGTAGAAAGTATTAAAGCCAAATTCAAATGTGGGACTTTAAACTTGGAAGTTTAGTGTATTTTCCATTGTATAAACATATAAAGAATTAATTGTTCAAATGAGGTTAAGATAAAAATGCTTGCTAGATATTTAAAAGTGAACAACCTTAGAATTTTCATAATTTAAAAGTAGGATAAAAATTTATCTTCTCTTTTTAATATTTAAAATAAGGACTACTAATGCATGCTATTTCTTATACCTGCTTCTCTCAATGTGGTTATCAGTACTGACAATTTCCTATTAGTCTTTCATTTAAAAATTTTGTGTGAATTAACTGGCATTTATATATTTTATTTCTTTTCTTTATTTTTAAAATTAATTAATGAAATATGCAAAATTCAATTTTCACCTTCTCCTCATTTAATGTCAATGAGAAAGAAAAGAAAAGAAAACTCTTTTTAGCAGGTATTCATAGTCATCATGTAAAACAAATTTCCCTTCCTTTTAAAAGTAAGTTTGTAAGTTGCTTTTCAATGTGTATTAGATTTTCCAGTTGTAGTCAGCCTTCTACATAGTGAAGTAGGTAATTTCTTGACAAGATGAATTTGAGCTGACTGATAAAATATTAAATTCAAAGCTCACAGATTTATCATTTAACTAGTAAATCTTATAATCAACTTTGTCATCCACATAACTTCAGGGCTTTTTTTAGTCCTAAGTTTTAGCTATCAGTAAACTCTATCTGTGTGAATATAGCACTGAACTGAGAGTAAAGAGATATAGGTCCCAGACTTGGCACTGCCAAAGCTAATAACATTACCACACTGGGACAAATTATTTTTCCCTGGATTTAATTGTCTTCTTCATTAACATGGGATGGTTGGACCAGGTGATGTCAGGAGGTCCTTTCTAGCTCTAATGTTCTCTGATTCTAAATTGCTTTGGTTCATTTTTCATTAGTCTTTCTTAATCAAAGAGAACAGTTATTCACTGAAATTAAAAGGCTACCCATTTAAAAAGTGCATATTTAGAATCTAATTTATTCCATGAGAATGAATGTTTTTTTCAGTACAGCATGTTCTAGTAGCATCTTCATCAGTAGAATATCCATTATAAAAAAAATACTTAATGTCATGGATCCCTGTAGAAACCCAATGTATTAGGAAAAAAGACCAGCCATTTGAAATACATAATTATAGATGTTTGAAAATGTATCATGTCATCAAAACAGTGAAGTAAAACCTATCTTTTGTATCTTTCTGTGCCCTGGAAAGAAATGTTATAAATAACAGGGAAAGAAGAAGTAGAAGGTAATTAACTAGGAAATTGCTTATCATCTTTTAGTGCCAGCAAGCAACAAGTATAAACCATATTGTAATCATTTAGGAAAATGGTCATTATGGAAGTCTCTGATTCTAAGCAATGCCTAGAGCCTTTCTAAGGAGGCTCTTAGATTACTTAAACTCATTCTTTGGTATTAGCTAAACCCTAGGAGGCATCTCTAAGGTTTAATTCTCATGACTGATATAGACACAACTTTTTAAAAATCCTCCTCAATTTGTGGCATTGTCATGGGTAAAATAAATGTTTCTAAGAAAGCTTAATTGTAAAAGATTTTGTATGGGAACTCTAACTGTTATCTATAGATAATTTCAGCACAAGATTGTGGTTCCTCTCCCCCCGAATTTCTAAGCATTAAGTTTTGATAAATATATCTTGTGGGAATACTGGGTAAGAGCAACAGAACATCATGAATATATTCATGCACATATGTACATGTATGCAGGCATTGTAGTACACATACATAGCCCCCATTTTATTTTTACTAAAGATATTACACATTCATTTATTAATACCTTACAATACCATGTATGTGAATTTCTATTGCTCCTTTTCTCTGTAGCTAATTGGGAAATGGCCCTAGGCCTTGTAGACACTTAAGTACCTCTTTTCTGCATTTCATAGGAATCCTAGGATTTTACAGCTGGAAGGGAATTTAGAGATCATCTAGCCCAATGACTTCATTTTTTAGATGAGTAAACCTTAAAGTAAGGACATGACTTCAAAGTGTTTGCTAACCTAGTCACTGATATGCAGTAAACTAGAAGAAATAGAGTGTCAGCTACAAGCAAATTTTAAATATAATCGGAATTTATCTATTCATTTAAATTTACTTATTAGATTGTTTCTATGTTGTAAATATGGTCAACCCATTTTTAGGAATGTCTACTCCATTAATATATTTAATATTAGAATTGCTTATGTTGCTCAGAATCCCTTAAGAATACAAGCTTCTTCAGAATAGGGAATTTTTTTACGTTTACTAAAACAAATTTACAGTATTTTCAAATATATTTTTTGTATTTGTATGCCCAGTGACTAGCATAGTGCCTGGCACATAATAAGTGAGAAATCAATATATGTTGATTATTTGATTGGTGAATTCCATTATTTTTATTTCCTTTTCTTCTTTACTGCCCCAGGAAACCAGAGTTTGATACCAGTCATCATCCAAAGCAACCAGGGAAACCTCCAGATCCTGGGCGTCCTGGACAACCCACCCTCAGTAAAAGTAGAACAACAGACACTTTGAGAACTGAGCAGAAATCCCCTGGAAGGAGCCCTTCTACCACTAGCCTGAGAGAATCGAAATCTCGAATGGATTTTAAAGAAGAACAAAAGTCAAGCATCATGCCTAGTTTTCTCACAGATTCCAACCCATTAAGTGCTGTCTCGTCTGTTGTAAATAAATTTAACCCTTTTGATTTGATATCAGACTCTGATGTATCCCAGGAAGAAGCCACTAGGAAACAAAAAGCTGCTCAGAAGGAACAGGGGAAACCTGAGGGAATCACAAAGTCTGCGTCTCAACAGCAGTCCCCTAAACGAATTACAAAGCTGCAAGGGCCTCCCAAAGCTACATCTCAGCAAGCTGGTACTACCAAATCAATACCTCCTCAACAACCTGGAAAAACTAAACCTCAGTCTCTTGGGACAGGAAAGACAACTCAAGCTTTAGGGCCTGCAGAAGAAGAAGCTTCACAATCAGAACAGGCAAAACCACAACTTCAGCAACGAGGTCCAACCAAATCTCAGCCAGATCCTGCAAAATCAGATCCTGCTAAATCAGTACCACAAGGCCCATCCAAAATACTTTCCCAGCAACCAGGGCCTACAAAACTACCTTCCCAACAGCCAGACCCTGCAAAACCACCTGTTCAGCAGTCGGGCCCCACAAAACCTCTCACTCAGCAGCCTGGGCCAACAAAACCCCCCACTCAGCAGCCAGGGCCCTCAAAACCCCCCACTCAGCAGCCAGGGCCCTCAAAACCCCCCACTCAGCAGCCAGGGCCAACAAAACTACCCACTCCCCAGACTGGGGCTTCAAAGACCCTCACCCAGCAGCCAGGGACCACAAAACCATCTACCCAGCAGCCTGGACCTTCAAAGACCCCCACCCAGCAGCCAGGGACCATGAAACCTCCTGCCCAACAGTTAGGGCCCACAAAACCCCCCCCTCAACAGCCAGGACCAACAAAACCCCTTGGCCAGCAGACTACAAAACCATCAAGCCAACAAGCAGAGCCTGGAAAACCTTTGCAACCACAATCAACTTCATCTCCATCTACAGCACTGACGTCAGCACAGGTCCCCCCAAAAACCTTTTGTCCTCTTTGCACTACCACGGAACTTCTGCTACATACTCCGGAAAAGGCCAATTATAATACTTGCACTCAGTGTCAAACAACTGTCTGTAGCCTGTGTGGGTTCAGTCCGCCACATATAACAGAGGTCAGTACATTTATTGTAGTCTTTCTTTCTAGAGTTAGTGAATCTAGATAATGGTGTCTTTATCATGAAATGGCATTGTTCAAAACAATATCATGATTTTAATGTCATGTCACTCTATTAGACACAGGCTATAAAGATAGAAAGGAAATTAGATATATCTAGTTGAAACACTTTGCTTTACATGTGAGGAAAATGAAGTCCTTAAATGTCAAGTGACTTATTTCAGTCTATATATACAGGTGGTATGTAGTAAGTTGGGATTCAAGTAGAGATTATGTCCAAAAATCATTATTCTCTCTTCTACTCCACTCTGCTAAGCATATCTCTTTTTTTTACCTGACATTTGTCATGAAACAATGCATGGTTCTTAGACACATTAATGTGAACTATGTTCTCAGCATTATTGGTATCAATTCTGACATTTTTTCTTGAGATGTTCTATGATTTTCAGACAGTTTGACAGTTGGTTTGTATCAACAATCACCAAGTTTATTGAATACTGTACCTACTGTGTATCTAGCACCATGCTGAGTGTTATACCTCTCTGTCTAAAAGTAAAATGATGTTGTTTTAGTAGGTGGCAAATCCTTACTAGAGGAGAACATATTACATAGCAAAATCATGAGGCAAGCCATGATGACATAGCAAATTAGGAAGGTTGCAGTAGTTATGGTACCCTAATTAAATGAAAGAAGGATGTGACAGACTTAGAGCTGAAAATGTAGGGTTTTGATGTCCAGGTGGCGGATAGGACTTGGTTTATTTTCTACAGTGAATGGAATATCCTTGAAGGAAGGCAATGGCATTGCCTAGTCAGGCTGGAGAACAGCTGGTAAGTGGGCAGACAGTGCATTTTGGCCTTGGAAACCAAGTGAGGGACAGACGGTGGAGTGGATAAGCCTCAACTCATGCACGGGTTAATTTAAAGACTTATATACTTTAATTATCCCCCGGACAGAAGGCTTGTGCACTGTGGTCATAATGAGTAAAAATCAGTATTACTAATGACTTTTGTTATTAATGACAAATCTTATTTCCATTAGTGATCATAATTATTATGGTTAATAATGATAATGTATGTTCAGAAGGTGTCCCCTTAATATATTATAGTCTTACCAGTGTATTATAATGTAGCTGACTACTGTCCATGCTGTTGTGTCTTAATACTAATTGTTAGTAATAAAATGGCATTTATATAGTGCTTTAATGTTCATGAAATATAGTACCTTCCCCAAAACATCTGGCAAAGTAAATGGTGCATGTTTTTATGCCCATTTTATAGTTATGAAGATTAAGGTTTAGAAAATTAAGAGCGTTGCCCTTATTCACAGTTAGATTGTTTTAGAGCCAGGTTTTCTATCACCTAGCCCACTGTGTTTTTTTTTTCATCATGAAGCTACTCTAGCCATTAATAATTATTCAATCAACACACTTTGAAACTTGAGAACTATCATATATTGGTCACAAGATAAAGATAAATGAGACATTCCTAACCAATCATGTTGCTTCCTAATTTCTGGTAGGGTTTTTGTTTTTTCTTTGATATTCCTACTGCTAAGTGGCTACTGCCTTTAATGAGGGAATAACACTGACCTTGTAGAAACCTCCCCTCCTTAAATCAAAATGTGAAAGAGAAAAAATTAGGATTCATAAAATATGAATTTTTTGCCACTTTGCCACATCACTTAGAAAAAAAGAATATTTCAACTTGATATTAAGTTCATGCCCAGAATTCATAAGACATGCCTTTTCCTCTCAAAAAGATATGTATACAAATAGCAATATAAAGTAGAAAGGGAAGAAGGAACCTGCTTAAAGACTTTTGAGCAGAAGAATGACACAGTTTGAGTTATGCTTTAGGAAGATTAATCAGGCTGTAATATATCAGATGGATTAGAGAAAGAGAAACTGGAATTTGGGTGGCTAGTTAAAAAGCCATTGTATTAGTACCTACTAGAACCTGTTAGGTCCTACACACAACATTTGGAGGTAGGAAATCTGGGTTTAAATCTTAGGACTAGCTGTGTGACTGTCTTCAATCTTTACAAATAAAGGACTTCTATCTAGCCCTCGATCATATGATCTTAAGATGATACTGATGGGAATGTAAAAGATAGGACTAACATGAGCTAGCTTGTTAGTAGATTCATTAGGATTTGATGACTGATTAGATATGGGGGATAAGGGAGAAGTTAAGAATGACTTTCAGCTCTGGGTGAAGAAGTGACAAGTTTGTTGAAAGAAAAGACTATTTCTTACTTCAAATGATTTGTGTTCTCATTGATGTGGGTACTTTTCCCAATGATGCACACCCACAATCTACCCACATCTTATTTTGGTAAGCTTCTACCAATGTTTTTTCTCAATAAATCTTCCATCTGGGGTCAGCCCAATATGCTGGAGGCCTTCATCTTGGTTCCTTAGTATCACATGAATATCACTGGAGCAAAAGAGTAGTTCATTAGTCATCCATCCCATTTATGTGGCTTCTTGCATGCAAATCACCATTGGACAAAATGCTCACCACATTTCCCTATAGTGACTTCTTGATGACCCCTAATTTTGATTCTTTATTGATTGTGTGTAAGCACAGTACTGGTCTCATAGCTTCACCAAAAGAATATTGGTTTTGAAAAGATGAATTTTTTTTTTCAGAAAGAAACATCTATTTTTGAAAGGGCTGCACAATTTTCCAAATTCATTTCAGCTTGTTCTCTTTCTCCTCTTGAATTCTCAGCCTATATCATTGTCCTTTTTTTGCAGTCACTGCATGAAATATATGAATTATTGTTCCACTTCACTGGATCATGCATATCAATCATGAATATTATGGTGTGGATAGGTATTTTTCATTCTCTTGTTTTTTCCTGGTATCTTAGCCTGAACATTTTAGTGGTTGGGAATTTCATTCAGAAGTCTTTGCAATATCCTAGAACTTGCTGCAGACAGTATAATGTTATTAGTAAATAGCATCTGGAGAACTTAATCATGTATGGGGAACTTCTCTCCCATTTTGGTGCTGCAGTACCTTTTCCACCTTTGGTGAGACCATCTCTCCTTGTATTATGTTTTGCTTTATTTTGATAATTGGGCCAAGAACTATTGAGGAATGGTATCTTTGCTATATCTCTCAAGAAATCCTATATAATCTCAAAAGATACATAGGAGGCCCATCTGAGAAGAGCTTTTAAAGCTTCACTTTTTTTCCTCTATGAAATCAGATGTGTTTTTATACCTAATAAGCAACAAATACTAGAGGATATCTAGTCTCTGAACGGTTAAGTCAGTTATGTGACTGTAAATCTGTAGTTTACTGTAGAAGATTATTTGAAACAGATCTCATTTTTCATCAATTATGTGCTTGATTCACATGTAGATTGTATTCATAAAGATTTGTGTAGAGGTGGAAGAATAAGTATGTTGGTAAGTTGTTACTGGAATCTTCTGAATTAACTTTTTGTTCTTTTGATTGTAGTACTATTTAAATTTTTCTAATAATATATGGTCTTTCCCTTTTTCATATATCTTGAGAGGTATTTTTCTATGCATTTATTAAGTAGTTATTATTTATCAGGCACTATGCTAGGCAGTGGGTATACAGAGACAAAAATAAAAGTGCCTGCCCTCAAGAATCTTACATTCTATCAGGGGAAGCAACAACTCCACAGAAAAGTAAATATAAATTAGACACAAAATAGATATAAGGGATTTGGGAGAGGGGAGGGCTGAGGGGAAGGCCACGGTTTGGATAGATGTTATGTAGGAAGGGCCACCTTGAGCTTTAAATGACAGTGAGGATTCTTTGAGGCAGAGGGGAAAGGGCTGTGCACTGCAGAGCAACCTGTGCCAAGAGATGGAGAAGGAAGATGAAATGCCACATATGGTGAATAACAAGGAAATCAGTCTGGTGAGAACATAATGGGCATGAAGGAGGCTAAGCTCAAACAAGCCTGGAAAGGTAGGATGAAGCCAAATTGGGAAGGGCTTTAAAGGTTAAAAAGAAGAGGTTTTTTTTTCCTCAGAAGCAAGAGAGAACCACTAAAGTTTCTTCAGCAGGAAAGTGGCATGGTTAAGACTTGCTTTTGGAATAGGAGCTTGGTGACTATGGGAGGATTGTTAGAAAAGGCAGAGAATGGAAACAGGGAGACCAATAAGAAGGCTATTGCATTTTCTTAGGTGAAAAGTGATAAGGACCTTCTCTAGAGTAGTTTCAATGTAAATAGAAAGAAGAGAATGAAGTGAGATATTGTGGAGGCAGAATTTACAACAGTCAGCAACTGACTAAGGAGTGAGGTAGAGTGAAAGTTAGGCATCATTTTTGGGTTTTCAACCTGCATGATTGGAAAGATAGTGATGCTTTTAACATAAATATGGAAATGAGGGAAGAGGGGAAGGAAGTCTTGAGAAAAGGATAATGAGTCTAGTTCTGTACCTATTGTTTATGAGGTGTCTATGGGATATCCAGTTGGATATTTCCCATTAGCGGTAAGCCTTGTGGGACAAGAGTTCAGAAAAGAGATTAGACATGGATATGTAGCTATGGGAGTCATTTATATCAAAATCATTGTTGAATCAATAGAGGGTGATATCACCAATAGACATAATATAGAGAAAAATAGAGGGCCCAAGACAGAGTGCTGGGGTGAAGCCACATATAGAAAGTGATACATGGGAGCTGATTCGGCAATGAACACTGAAAACGAACAGCCGTGTAAGACTGAGTATGTCATCAAAGGAAAAGAAGAGAAAACAGTGTCACCAAACCCAGATAGGAGAATATCTAAAAGGCATGGTTAGCAGTGTAAAATGTCATAAAAGAATCTAGTAGGATAAGAACTGAGAAAAAAAAACTATTGTATTTACGTTGTGTAAAGTCTTAGAACTCTTTCTGTTCAGTGATGGATGAGTTCAGAAGCCAGTTTAGAAGGTGTTGAGAAGTAAATGCTATGTGAGAAAGTTTTAAGTGCAAGCAGGGAAGCAATCATTACAGAGATAGTGTG